GGAAAACTTGGAGACAGTGGTCAAATGGGCAAATAGGTGGCGGAGTCAAGGGGTGATCGTGCAGACCACCGACCAACACTTCAAAATTGCTGTTTGTTACCCGATGGGTGGAAGATAGCTGGTTGTGCATGGTTTTGTCTGCGCCTAGAAGGTCAGTTGCGGTTCCTCCCAATATCATATGGTCTGGGCTGGGGCCAGTGATATTGTTGTGCGCAGGGCCTCTGATAAGTTTAATACTGTTGTCTCCTGGGGAGGGACGGGTATATGCCCAGTGTGCTCAGGGTGGCTCTAGAGTCTTTCATAGTGTGAAGGACTTCATCGGTTTTTTTAGAAAAAAGGTTATCTTTGTCAAAGGAAAGGTACTCCACTTTGTTCTGCAGATCTTTGGGGATACCGGAAGCAGACACTCAGGAAGACCTGCGCATCACCACCGCAGTTGCGGTAGTGCAGGCTGCTGTGTCCACCATGTCCAGGGATGTTTGTAGCACTGTCCTGGACACCAACTGACCTTCGACAAGGACTGACTTAAAGTCCGCTCTCCTGGCCTCTGGGATATGGGAGGCAAAATCAAAGAGCTTGTTGTAGTTGTAATCATAGCTTGCGAGGAGGGTGGGGTAATTTGCAATTCTAAATTGCAAAGTGGAGGAGGTATAAACCTTGCGGCCCAGGAGGTCAAGCCGTTTGAGGCCCTTGTCTTGCGGGGTGGGCCGGTATTGTGGCTGTTTTGTCCTGTGTGTCACTGCATCCACTACAAGAGAGTTTGGTTGTGGGTAGGAAAATAAGAAATCTACATCTTTAGCGGGAACATAATATTTACGTTCAGCCTTTTTGTATGTTGGTGGGATGGCAGCAGGGGTCTGCCAAAGAGTATCAGCTGGTTCTAGGAGGACTTCGTTTATGGGTAGCGCGATCCTTGAGGGCACAGAAGGGTGGAGGATTTTGAGGAGTCTGTTGTGTCTCCTGGACTTCCTCCAAAGGAATGTCCTGGCTGAGTGCCACCCTCTTGAAAAGTTTCTGGAATTGCTTAAAGTCGTCCACATTTTGTGGAGGTAGAGGCATGAGGGCTCCATCTACAGCTGATGGAGTCGGTGAATCAGGGAAGGGTTCATAGCCCACCTGCTCAGGAGGGGGTTCAGGAGCTCTAGATGTAAATGGAGCTAGAGATAGACGCGCAGAACGGGCTTGCGGTCTGGTGGAAGGGCCACAAGGAGGAGTGGCAGCAGGAGCCGACCAAGGGTACCACTGAGGCCAAGGCATAGTGTAAGAAAAGTGAGGTCCCACCCATGGGGGACAAAGTAGGGAAACTGAGGCTGGTTCTTGTGAGGTGCCATGCCTTGAGATATATATGGCTCCGGTGGAGTAGGAGAATCAGGCGGGGAGAACTCTGCCTGCTGCTGCATGTTGTTCTCGCTGTCAGTGAAGGTAGCCAGGTCAGGTGGCAAGAGCGGCTGTTCAAACAGTGAGCGTTGTGTGTCAAGGAGTGGAGAGTCAGGCACAGGGGCCACGGAGATATCAACTTGATGCAAAAATTGTTGCTAGTCCATGGGCTGTGGTCCTGCGGGACACGAAGTGTGAGCGGAAGCTCGCAGTGACTTGTTTAGCTTTCACGGGTGCTGCGGGCCATTTATAGGCACCCTGCAGGGGGTCCGCGTCTGCTGCGGGGGTGATGGGCAGACTCGGTGCCGACGTTCTTGTCAGCACCAGGGTAGAACGCACTGCCGGTACCAGGTCTATCTTCGGTACCGACGGGACCGGTGCCAAGGAGAGCTTCCCGCTGTAGTAAGTCGGGTCCCTGCTTTTGCGCTCCGCATGAGCCTCGGCTGAGGTGCTGCGGTGGTCGGAGGTGCCTACTTTTGGCGCTGTCAGCACCAAGAGTAAAGATCTCACAGGAGACCCCTTTACCCTTTTGAAAGTCTCTGTGCAGAGACCTTGGGGCTTCCTGCCTCTTCACCTGAGAGGGTGAAGCCGCGCTCCCGATCAGTTCAGACCTAGCAGGGGAGCGTGAGCGAGAGGGTTTAACTTGTGCCTGTCTCCATAGGCGGTTGCAGAGATTTCTCCATCAGGAGCATTTTTAGCCGCAAGTCCCTGTCATGACGAGCCCTGGTTTTCAGGCTGGTACAATGGTGACACTTAGCGGGGAAGTGTGTGTCACCGAGGCGTTTCGAGTGTCCGTCAGACTGCGGCATAGGCTCCTTGCAGGAGTGGCATTTCTTAAAGCCCGGGGACCCTGGAATCATTGAACTATTATTGCCTGGGGGGAGAGTCTCAACAGGAGACAAACGTGGGAGAAAAAGGGTTTTTTTTTGTTTGGTTGGGTTTTTTTAAACTAATGAACTATTCTAAAGGAAGGGAGAGAACTGGAATATTTCTATCTAACTATTTCTATATCTTTTTACTTATTTCCTTCAGTGACCAGGGAAGAGGTTCAGCACTGCCCTGAGTCCCATCTTCAGCTGAGGACGGTTGAGAAGGAACTAAGGGGGAGTGCAAGATGCGCACGCTCAGGCAGACCCTAACGCCGCCGCGAGACAGCAGCTGAGCACGTGCATCCCGACCAGGCACTGCTACCGAAGATCTCCGGGCAACGGCACCGGGACGCACCGTCACCTGGAATGGAGCACCCACAGGGACAGAACTCGAAGAAGAACCGGTCTTATTATCAAGCACAGCAGAAAATTGGAAGTAAGAAAAAATATATATACAAATCCTGTGGTTTCAGGACTTCTTGAGATTCTTCAAATTCTAAACTTTCATTTTAAAAATTAAGCGTTTGCCTTTTTTCACTGTAAACTTGTAAAATCATGTGCTCTTGCTCCTTTTACCTAGCCTTGGTGAAAATTATACTTATGGGTTTATAACAAAAAACAAAGTTGCACGGATTTAACTAAAGGTGTGATTTTGGGGGCTGTGGTGGATAATCAGCTGAACATGAGTCCCAGTGTGACGCTGTGGCCAAAAGAGCTAATACAATCCTTAGATGCATAAACAGGGGAATCTCAAGTAGGAGTAGAGAGGTTATTTTACCTCTATATTTGGCACTGATAGAATACTGTGTCCAGTTCTGATAGACACAATTCAAGAAGAATTTTGATAAATTGCAGCAGGTTCAGAGAAGAGTCACAAGAATGATTAAAGGATTAGAAAACATGCCTTATAGTGATAGACTCAAGGAGCTCAATCAATTTAGCTTAACAAAGAGAAAGCTAAGGGGTGACTTGATTACAGTCTACAAGTACAAGTAACAAGTATTTAATAATGGGCTTTTCAATCGAGCAGAGAAAAGTATAACACAATCTAATGACTGGAAGTTGAAGCTAGACAAATTCAGACTAAAAATAAGGCAAAAAAAAAATGTTAACAGTGAGCGTAATTAACCACTGGAACAAATTACCAAGGGTCCTGGTGGATTCTCCATTACTAATAATTTTTAAATGAAGTTCAGATGTTTTCCCAAAAGATCTGCTCTAGAAATTAATTTGGGGAAGTTCTATGGCCTTTGTTATACAGGAGGTCAGACTAGATGATAACAATGGTCTCTTCTGGCCTTGGAATCTGTGAATCGGGGGGAGGGATAGCTCAGTGGTTTGAGCATTGGCCTGCTAAACCCAGAGTTGTGAGTTCAATCCTTGAGGGGGGCACTCAGGGATCTGGGGCAAAAATCAGTACTTGGTCCTGCTAGTGAAGGCAGGGGGCTGGACTCAATGACCTTTCAGGGTCCCTTCCAGTTCTATGAGATAGGTATATCTCCATATATTATATTATTTAATCTATGAATTTAAAATCTATTTAGTTAAGCTAGGGCAAAAGGCTGTGTGAACACTTTTAAACTAGAGTAAAGATATTAGGAATAGGTTTAAGTTAAACTGAAATAAACCACTCTTAAACCAAAATAAGGCTACGTCTTCACTACACGGGGGGGTCGATTTAAGATATGCAAATTCAGCTACGCGTCGTAGCTGAATTCAACGTATCCGAGCCGACTTACCCCTCTGTGAGGACGGCGGCAAATCGACCTCCGCGGCTCCCCCGTCGACGGCACTTACTCCTACCTGTGCTGGTGGAGTACAAGCGTCGATTCGGGGATCGATTGTCACGTGACGCGATAATTCGATCCCTGAGAGATCGATTTCTACCCGCCGATTCAGGCGGGTAGTGAAGACGTAGCCTAAGAGTGTCTACATGGGGCTTGCCATCAGCTTAACTCAGGGTACGTCTACACTTACCGGAGGGTCCGGCGGCAGGCAATCGATGTTCTGGGATCGATTTATCGCGTCTAGTGAAGACGCAATAAAATCGATCCCTGATCGCTCTGCCGTCGACTCCGGAAATCCACCGCAGCAAGAGGCGGCAGCGGAGTCGACGGCGGCGCGGCAGCGGTCGACTTGCCGCCGTCCTCACAGCCAGGTAAGTCGACCTAAAATTCGCCACTTCAGCTACGCTATTCACGTAGCTGAAGTTGCGTATCTTAGGTCGACCCCCCGCTGTAGTGTAGACCTAGCCTAAATCAGTTTAAAAGCCAAGTAATGAAAACTCCTTACAACACTTTGTAGTCATAAAAATACACTTTATGCATTGTAAGACTTTGTCTTACCAATAACAAAAATGGATAAAGAAATAATTCCAGCATTTCACATAAACAGTTCCTATTAAGAAATAAACCCTTTACTAGATTTGGGTGGAAGAGGAGAAATTAAAATTTCTAAGTGATTGAAAAGTCCCTGTGTAAGCGTAGTGAGCACTGGCTATAATTTTCAGAAACTCTAAGGACACCACAAGGCATGATCTCTCTGTCTGGCACAGTTATATGCTTCAAAAGAAAAGATTTATTTTCTTAAACTATCATCTTCCCTATCACTGTATGGAACTTTGGATGAAACTTTTATGCCAGAGGCCAATTCAAACAGCTCAGCTGCTCTACTGTGTGATCTTGATTAGACTGAGCAATAACAGATCTGCACATCTTTCAGTGCAGTAAAGGCAAAGAGTGGTCCAGTGACTACCTGAAGATTCTCATCCTCTCGGATCAGCTGCTTCCTGGGAAAGATCTGATTAGCCTGGATGCATTCAAGGCTGTGCTGAGTCTCTTCATCCTAGAAACAAAACTCTACAGTTAATTTCAACACTGTTACCCATTCACAGCAGACCTCTCCATTGACAGAAGGCATGAAGAGTTCCCAGTGACCAATGAAAGATTTAGGCACGATGAACTATTACGAGAATTCAGCTACCAGTGACCCACAGAAGTGACATCATAGTTGCAATTTTACAATACTAGTGGCCCACAACTTTGCAATGTAAAACACAGATTTGGGATCTCTTTCCTTTGTTAAACACAAAAACATGAAGCAAAGTATTTCCCTTTCAATTTTAAATGCAATTTTTAAGAAATTGTAGCAAGGGGGCGTGGTCTCCCTCCCTGACAGGTAGGGAGAGAACCAGGACCACTCCCTGGTGTGCAGAACCGGGATATCAGCGCCACCCCGCTGGACGCAGAGGGGTGGGACAGGAAGCGGAACTATAAAAGGCCGGCCCTCTAGCTCAGTTGGGGCAGTGCTGCCAGAGGAGCAGGACGTCTCTTCCCCCCCGCAGACACGCCCTGGAGCCTGGACCTGATAAAGGCTGCTACAGCGCCAGAGACCTGGAGGGACTGCCGGAGCTGCCAGTCACTGGGGAGCTGTTGGGCTGCCACTCGTCATTTACTCCAGCGAGATCAACGACAACCCCGGAACCCAGGTACCCTCAAACTGGGAGTGGAGGAAGGAGCCCAGGGAAGCCGAATAGGGTTCGGCTGGGTTACTGACTGCAAGCCAGCCAGCATGGAGAAAAGCCTGTTGAGAGTCTTTGGGTTTAGGGATGAGAACAACAAGGGTGATGTCGTGGTGGGCGTGTGCTACAGACCACCAGATCAGAAGTATGAGGTAGATGAGGCTTTCTTCAGACAACTGAAGTTTCCAGATCACAGGCCCTGGTACTAATGGGAGACTTCAATCACCCTGACATCTGCTGGAAGAGCAATACAGAATTGCACAGACAATCCAGGAAGTTTTTGGAGAGTGTTGGGGACAACTTCCTGGTACAAGTGCTGGAGCAACCGATTAGGGACCTTGCTCCTCTTGACCTGCTCCTTACAAACAGGAAAGAATTGGTAGGGGAAGTAGAAGCGGATGGCAACCTAGGCAGCAGTGACCATGAGATGGTTGAGTTCAGGATCCTCACAAAACGAAGAAAGGAGAGTAGCAAAATACAGACCCTGGACTTCAGAAAAGCAGACTTTGACTCCTTTAGGGAACTGATGGGCAGGATCCCCTGGGAAGCTAATATGAGGGGGCAAGGAGTCCAGGAGAGCCAGCTGTATTTTAAAGAAGCCTTAGTGAGGGCGCAGGAACATACCAACCCGAAGTGCAGAAAGAATAGGAAATATGGCAGGCGACCACCTTGGCTTAACAGTGAAATCGTTATCTCCAGACTGATTCTTGCCTGCATATTTATACCTGCCTCTGGAAATTTCCATTACATGCATCTGACGAAGTGGGTATTCAACCACGAAAGCTTATGCTCCAATACATCTGTTAGTCTTTAAGGTGCCACAGGACTCTGTTGCTTTTTAGTGAAATCTTTGGTGAGCTTAAACTCAAAAAGGAAGCTTACAAGAAATGGAAATTTGGACAGATCACTAGGGAGGAGTATGAAAAAATTGCTCAGGCATGCAGGGGTGTAATCAGGAAGACCAAGGCACAATTGGAGTTGCAGCTAGCAAGGGATGTGAAGGGTAACAAGAAGGGTTTCTACAGGTATGTTAGCAACAAGAAGGTCAGGGAAAGTGTGGGACCCTTGCTGAATGGGGGAGGCACATGATGTGGAAAAAGCTGAAGTACTTAGCTCCAGGATGCTGCACTGGGCAACACAGTATGGGGAGGAGGTGAGCAGCCCTCAGTGGTCAAAGAACAGGTTAAGGACTATTTAGAAAAGCTGGATGTGCACAAGTCCATGGGTCCAGATCAAATGCATCCAAGGGTGCTGAAGGAGTTGGCTGATGTGATTGCAGAGCCATTTGACATTATATATGAAAATTCATGGCGATCAAGGGAGGTCCCGGACAATTGGAGAAAGGCAAATATAGTGCCTATATTTTAAAAAGGGAAGGAGGAGGATCCGGGGAACTACAGACCAGTCAGCCTCACTTCAGTCCCCAGCAAAACCATGGAACAAGTCCTCGAGGAATCCATTTTGAAGCACTTTGAGGAGAGGAAGGTGATCAGGAACAGTCAACATGGATTCACCAAAGGCAACTCATGCCTGACCAACCTGATTGCCTTCTATGATGAGATATCTGGCTCTGTGGATATGGGGAAAGCAGTGGATGTGATATATCTTGACTTTAGCAAAGCTTTTCATATGGTCTCCCACAGTATTCTTGCCAGCAAGTTAAAAAAGTATGGATTAAATGAATGGACTACAAGGTGGATAGAAAGCTGGCTAGATCATCGGGCTCAACGGGTAGTGATCAATGGCTCCATGTCTAGTTGGCAGCCGGTATCAAGCGGAGTGCCCCAAGGGTCGGACCTGGGGCCGGTTTTGTTCAACATCTTTATCAATGATCTGGATGATGGGATTAATTGCACCCTCAGCCATTTTGCAGATGACACTAAGCTAGGGGGAGAGATAGATAAGCTGGAGCGTAGGGATAGGGTCCAGAGTGACCTAGACAAATTGGAGGATTGGGCCAAAAGAAATCTGATGAGGTTCAACAAGGACAAGTGCAGAGTCCTACATTTAGGAAGGAAGACTCCAATGCACCGCTACAGGCTGTGGACCGACTGGCTAAGCAGCAGTTCTGCAGAAAAGGACCTGGGGATTACAGTGGACGAGAAGCTGGGTATGAATCAGCATTGTGCCCTTGTTGCCAAGAATGCCAATGGCATATTGGGCTGTATTAATAGGAGCATTGCCACCAGATCGAGGGAAGTGATTATTCCCCTCTATTCGGCACTGGTGAGGCCACATCTGGAGTATTGGTCCTCCCACTACAGAAGGGATGTGGACAAATTGGAGAGAGTCCAGCGGAGGGCAACGGAAATTATTAGGGGGCTGGGGCACATCAGTTACAAGGAGAGACTGAGGGAACTGGGCTTATTTAGTCTGCAGAAGAGAAGAGTGAGTCGGGATTTGATAGCAGCCTTCAACTACCTGAAGGGGGGTTCCAAAGAGGATGGAGCTAGGCTGTTCTCAGTGGTGGCAAATGACAGAAGAAGCAGCAATGGTCTCCAGTTGCAGTGGGGGAGGTCTAGGTTGGATATTAGGAAACACTATTTCACTAGGAGGGTGGTGAAGCACTGGAATGGGTTACCCAGGGAGGGGGTGGAATCTCCATCCTTAGAGGTTTTTAAGGCCTGGCTTGACAAAGCCCTGGCTGGGACGATTTATTTGGGGTTGGCCCTGCTTTGAGCAGGGAATTGGACTAGATGACCTCCTGAGGTCTCTTTCAACCCTAATCTTCTATGATTCTATGTTGCGTCTGGATTTCCCCACTGACGGACCACTCTGCTACTGTTGGGGCCCTGGGCTGGGTGGAGTGGGTGGGCCTGAGTCCCCCTACCCCGTGCCACCCTACCTGTATTGGTCTGATGCCCGCCTGAGCTAGGACGCCGATGGTTTAGCTGGCTCTCCCATCAGAGAGCTAATCTCCCCTGAGACTGTTGTGCTGCTTTGCCTGACAGCAGGCCAGAGCCCCCTTACCTGACTGCTGCCCCACCCTGAGTGCGGGCTCTGGGCTATAGACTTGCTGCCACCCGGCTCGACTGTGGGCCAGGCCCATTATATGTGTGCAGCCCCGCTCTGGCTGAGTGTCGGGGCCACCAGACCCAACTGATACCCAGCCTGGACTGAAGGCTAGGGCCTATTAACTGCTGGCTAATTCTCCCTGAACGGAGTCGCTCTAGGAGCATTGCAGCAAGGAGGCTTGGTCTCCCTCCCTGATAGGCGGGGAGAGAACCACGACCGCCTTACAGAAATTAACTCAGTCCTTATACTACACAAATCTGCACCTTTCCTGCACAATTTAAACAGCCTTGCTCTACACAGTAAAATTGCACTAGCAAATTAATTTCAAACAGCCTTGCAATAAATCTGACTTAAATGCCATGAACAGTACATGGCTAATTAATCTGAATTTGGATGGAAGAATACTGCCTTGGTTTATATGCCAGACTGCTGGCAGATGGTACACGTGGAATAATGATGACGATCATCACAAAATTAAAACACAAATTGCTCAAAGATAAATAAAAAGGCAATGAAAACTATCTTTTCAGTTCAACCAGAAGCCTGGAGTGACATGTATGTCAGGTATTATCACACAGTACCAACTCTCTCATCCTTCTTGTGCTGCAGCCTGCTTTGTTTTGGTCAGTCCTGACAAAACCCATGTGCTTACCATGACAGGCCCAGGCTAGGAGGAGAAATCCTCGTCTTTGCTCACAACACTTTGAGGCTCTTCTTTCCGTAATAGTAAAAGCTGGAAAACAAAATGGCAAAGTGTAAATGTGAAGACAAATTCATTTTATCTTCTGGTGGCAAATAAATTATTTTAAATGCAAGTTAATTTTAAAGACCAAGACTCTAGTTAGAAGAAAACCCCAATTATACATCAATGAACAGATGAAGTCAATACAAACTAACTTGCTTTACAAGCACACACCATTATGAAATATGCCTGACTGCTTTAATGCATTCTCAATAATCACCAGTGAACAGGCTGCCAGGAGAATAATAGTTGAATGTAACAATTATACTAATCTGTTTGTCTCATTTAAATTAAACATATGGCTTTCCAGGCTGCCCTGAGAACATTCCTGAGTCATTTGTAGATGCAGACTCTTCCCATCTATTTCTTATTTTTTTATACAAATATATTATGGATTTTCCTACCCACATCACAAAAAAGGATACACGTAAATTACATTGAAAATATGTTCAGTGTTCAACAGTGTTGAAGCTCATCTGCCCTTACATTTATATTTGGAAGTTTCAGCACTGTGGTTGATGAAGGAAGCCATACTGAATTCACCAGCCCACAGAGACAATGATATTGCAATATCACTAACTGCACACTGTATATTGTACAGAATATTTATTGGGGCGGGGGGGGAGACGGGACACCACAAAACAGCAGTGGATGCATGTATTTCAAAAGCAAAACACATTCCAGTATGCAAAAATGCCCAGAGACAAAGGAAAACCCAGACCTACTATCTCTGTTGCACCTAAATAGTCCCATTAATATCAGTAAAAACAACGAGGAGTCCTTGTGGTACCTCAGAGACTAACAAATGAATTTGTGCATAAGCTTTTGTGGGCTAAAACCCACTTCATCAGATGCATGCAGTGGAAAATACAGTAGGGAGGTATAAATACACAGCATATGAAAAGATGGGAGTTGCCGTACCAAGTGGGGGGTCAGTGCTAACGAGCCAATTCAATTAAGGTGGAAGTGGACTATTCTCAACAGTTGACAACAAGGGGTGGAAATCGCTTTTGTAGTACTAATGAGGCCAATGTAATCTACACAATCAGCAGCACTGCTATGCGTACCCGCATGGCCCCACAGTATGCCAACATTTTTATGGCTGACTTAGAACAATGCTTCCTCAGCTCTCGTCCCCTAACGCCCCTACTCTATCATCTGGACCCAAGGGAAGGAGGCCCTTGAGGAATTCCACCAGGATTTCAACAATTTCCACCCCACCATCAACCTCAGCCTGGACCAGTCATAGAATCATAGAATCTCAGGGTTGGAAGGGACCTCAGGAGGTCATCTAGTCCAATCCGCTGCTCAAAGCAGTCCAATCCCCAACTAAATCATCCCAACCTCCCCCACTGCAACTTGAGACCATTACTCCTTGTTCTTTCATCTAATAATCTCCCCTCATTCTTCTCTTCTGCAGACTAAATAATCCCAGTTCCCTCAGCCTCTCCTCATAAGTCATGTGCTCCAGCCCCCTAATCATTTTTGTTGCCCTCCGCAGGACTCTTTCCAATTTTTCCAACATCCTTCATGTAGTGTGGGGCCCATAACTGGACACAGTACTCCAGACGAGGCCTCCAACGCCAAATAGAGGGGAATGATCACACCCCTCGATCTGCTGGCAATGCTCCGACTTACACAGGCCAAAATGCCATTAGTCTTCTTGGCAACAAGGACACACTGTTGACTCATATCCAGTTTCTTGTCCACTGTAACCCCTAGGTCCTTTTCTGCAGAACTGCTGCCTAGCCACTTGGGTCCCTACTCTGTAGCAGTGCATGGGATTCTTCCATCCTAAGTGCAGGACTCTGCACTTGTCCTTGTTGAACCTCATCAGATTTATTTTGGCCCAATCCTCCAATTTGTCTAGGTCCCTCTGTATCCTATCACTATCCTCCAGCGTATCTACCACTCCTCCCAGTTTAGTGTCATCTGCAAACTTGCTGACAGTGCAATCCACGCCATCCTCCAGATCATTAATGAAGATATTGAACAAAACCGGCCCCAGGACCGACACTTCGGGCACTCCGCTTGATACCGGCTGCCAACTAGACATGGAGCCGTTGATCACTACCTGTTGAGCCCGATGATCTAGCCAGCTTTCTATCCACCTTATAGTCCATTCATCCAGCCCATATTTCTTTAACTTGCTGGCAAGAATACTGTGGGAGCCTGTATCAAAAGCTTTTCTAAAGTCAAGAAATAACACGTCCACTGCTTTCCCCTCATCCACAGAGCCAGTTATCTCATCATAGAAGGCAATTAGATTAATCAGGCATGACTTGCCCTTGGTGAATCCATGCTGACTGTTCCTGATCACTTTCCTCTCCTCTAAGTGCTTCAGAATTGACTCCTTGAGGACCTGCTCCATGATATTTCCAGGGACTGAGGTTAGGCTGACTGGCCCGTAGTTCCTCGGATCCTGCTTCTTCCCTTTTTTAAAGATGGGCAATACATTATCCTTTTTCCAGTCCTCCGGGACCTTCCCCGATCGCCATGAGTTTTCAAAGATAATGGCCAATGACTCTGCAATTACATCCGCCAACTGCTTTAGCACCCTCGGATGCAGTGCATCTGGCCCCATGGACTTGTGCTTGTCCAGCTTTTCTAAATAGTCCTGAACCACTTCTTTCTCCACAGAGGTCTGGTCACCTCCTCCCCATACTGTGCTGCCCAGTGCAGTAGTCTGAGAGCTGACGTTGTTCGTCAAGACAAGAGGCAAAAAAAGCATTGAGTACATTAGTTTTTTCCACATCCTCTGTCACTAGGTTGCCTCCCCCATTCAGTAAGGGGACCACACTTTCCTTGACCACCTTCTTGTTGCTAACATACTTGTAGAAACCATTTTGTTACTCTTAACATCCCTTGCTACCTGCAACTCCAAGTGTGATTTGGCCTTCCTGATTTCACTCCTGCATGCCTGAGAAATATTTTTATACTCCTCCCTGGTCATTTGTCCAATCTTCCACTTCTTGTAAGCTTCTTTTTTGTGTTTAAGATCAATAAGGATTTCACTGTTAAGCCAAGCTGGTCGCCTGCCATATTTACTGTTCTTTCTACACATCAGGATGGTTTGTTCCTGCAACCTCAATAAGGATTCTTTAAAACACAGCCAGCTCTCCTGGATTCCTTTCCCCCCCATGTTATTCTCCCAGGGGATCCTGCCCATCAGTTCCATGAGGGAGTCCAAGTCTGCTTTTCTGAAGTCCAGGGTCCGCATTCTGCTGCTCTCCTTTCTTCCTTGTGTCAGGATCCTGAACTCGATCATCTCATGGTCACTGCCTCCCAGGTTCCCATCCACTTTTGCTTCCCCTACTAATTCTTCCCTATTTGTGAGCAGCAGGTCAAGAAGAGCTCTGTCCCTAGTTGAATTAATATTTTTAAAGAGACACTGACTGGTTCAAAAACAGATTTTTTAAAAAGCAACTGTTGTGTCTATAGTGTTGTTTTGTGCACTGCAGGGTGCAGTACCATCTGCTACCACTGTGGAACTCTTGATGTAGCTTTAGCTGCTTCAACTTTACTTGAGTCCTAGGGTAGCGCATATGGGCTACAGGCACTGACAGAGCAGGCGCAGACTGGTGGGACTAGGCACCTGAGGGGCTAACTCAGATTAGCTTCTCAAAGACAAGAATATAGGGTCCTCTGTTGCCTGCAAATATGATCTCCTCCTACGGTATCAGATTCTGCTTCTCCAGGACCCTCAACAGGTATGAAGGGGTTCTGAGATGGGGGGGGGGGGGGGAGATACACTGTGGAAGATGAGCTGGAGTGGGGGACAGACGGATTTTGAGTCTATGGGGAAACTGAGCAAAGAGTGGTTTTGAACTGGGTGCAGGGTTGCTGAAGGGATCTGAGCCTGTGGTATCTGCAGCCATTCCACGCATTTGCGGCGCTGTTGCCACTGTTATAAATGATCCTGCTGAGATAATTAATCTGCAAACTCTGCCATCCATAGTTTATAAAGTCATACTTGGCCATCAGTGGCAATTTAGTTAGAGATCCAGAACTGTAGTCCAGCTGAGAAGACCTTTCGACCTATAAGGTCCAGTCTCTTGCCCTCCCTGTCTGTCAGGGTGGAGCATGGGTATGGCTGCTTGGATCACCAGGGAGTTAGCTGGAGGGTGTGAAATAAAAAATCGGACCTTTTGATGGAGACTTGGTACCTTTCCTCAGCCCCCTTCGGGGTGGGGGCGAATGTGGCCCGGGCATGCCACAGGGCGTGTCGTGCTGGTTGAAGAATGGTATCATTGATTGGTAAGGTTCAGAGTTTATTGACATGCTGACTGCAACAGCGCTCAGCCAAATCCAGCATCATCTCTAGCTTGTTGGGTGATGGTGTAATGAGATGCGAAAGTGGGAACTGATGACCATATTGCCACTTTACAAATGTCCTGGATAGGAACTTGTGCTACAAATGCTGCCATAGATGCTTGGGTCCTTGTGGAATGTGCTGTTAGGGCAGGAACCTTTTCCCGGTCATAGCATGTACAGATGCAGGATGCGATCCATGATGAAATTCTCTGGGCTCAGATGGGAAGACCTTTCATCCTGTCTCTAGTAGGACCTCGCGGACCTGCCCCAAGCATGCTAGCTCTGCGGGGTTCAGCCATGGAGCTTCCAGGCTGTCAGATGAAGGGACTGGAGATTCAGGTGATGCAGACAGAGGTGGTCCTGAGAGATCAGGTGTGGACACAGAGGTAGAAGGATTGGCATCTCCACTGAGAGGTCTAGGAATGTGGCGAACCGATGGTGGGGCCAGGCAGGGGCTACCAGAATGACTCACGCTTTGTCCCTTCTGATCCTCAGCAAGATCTTGCGTATGAGAGGAATGGGAGGAAACACGTAGAAGACATGACCCATCCAAGGGAGGAGGAAGGCATCTGCAAGAGATCCGGGGCTGTGACCCAGGAGGGAGCTGAACTGGAAACACTTCCTGTTGTGCTTTTGTTGCAAACTGATCTATCTGGGGAGTCCCCCACCTCTGGAAA